GAGAGAGAGAGAGAGAGAGAGAGAGAGAGAGAGAGAGAGAGAGAGAGAGAGGGACCAGCTGCCTGCGCCGTTGAACTTTGAGACGGGCTGCAGTGGTTGCCTGCGCGCCCGAACCTGGCGCGGGAAGCGTCCGGGTACGGGCGCGGGCAAAGGGGGAAAAGAGAGCCCTGCTGAGCTTGACTTTAGTTCGACTTTGTGAGATGACTGGGGGGGGGGGGGGATGTGCTCGTTCGTTTTTCAAACGACGAGCTGCCCCTGCTCTAGAGAAGAAAAAAAAAGGAAATGAAAAGAAAAGAAAAAAGGGGTAGAAACGGCCGCGGATTTAGCCGCGGCCTCGGTCCAGATGCAAGTTTAGAAGCATCTGGACTATGATTAGACAGCAGACTGGTGGTTATAACAGTCTGCTTAAAAATGGCTAAGTACGGCCATTTGTGCATTGCGTCTGGCCGTGGGTGAAGGCCAGATGCATTACCAGGACTCAGAACTTGGTTCCCTAGGGGAACATCAAGTTTCCTGGCCCTTGATCGCGATTTTGATCAAGGGCCAGGCTCTATTCCGAGATTTGGCTGGGGGCAAAGCGGCTGCCCTCAGCCTTTAACCAGCTATAAAAGCTAGGCTGCCACCCAGCAGCCTCACACTTGTGGCAATGCTGCTGGGGCATTCTACTTGAGTAGATGCTGGTTGGCTGGCTGCTGGAGTAATGAGGCGAAGTGCTGGAGGTCTGCAGGAGCACTTGGAGGAAGGAGGAGGCAGCCGTAGCTAGAGGCTGGGAGCTTCTTGCCCCACCTCTTGTGTTGTGCTGTAGGCTGTGGGAGGAGCTATAGCCGCAAGGCTGCAGCTTGTTTGGGCCGTGCGGCAACGGATTTTCTTGAGTAGGAGGAAGCGCTGCCGAAATTTTGCGGCGGCAGCACTGGTTTTCTTGGCGGTACGGCGGAAGCGCTGCCGAAATTTTGCGACAGCAGTGCTGGTTTCCTTGGTGGTACGGCGGAAGCGCTGCCGAAATTTTGCGGCGGCAGCGCTGGTTTTCTTGGCGGTATGGCCGAAGCGCTGCCGAAATTTTGCGGCAGCATCGCCGGTTTTCTTGGCAGTACGCCGAGGGCGCTGCCGAATTTTGTGGAGACAGTGTTTTGCACCGTGACGGGGCTACGAGAAGGGGAATTGGACGTTGCCGCAAGGACGGTGCCGCCGAGGTGGAAATGCATCTTGAAACAGTGGGGGTGTTGTGCCGCTAGGATGTGGCGGTCGTCTCGTTGAGGGCGTTGCGGCATGCGGCGCCTGCAGGAATTGTCAAGGCTGTTGTTATTTTTTTGCGGCACGTTGAACGACCGGGGTTTGAGTCCGGGGCCGCCAAGTATTGCGGCAGGCGTGTGGTGACCTGACTTGGTATTTGGTGGATTGAGGTGACGCTATATTTGGGAGGAAAGTGTCGCTGAGACTGTGTGGGATTTGAGAGGGGAGCACTTTGTTCAAACGGCGAGCGCACTTCTGGATTGGTGAGCAGCGTCTGGGTCAGTGGTGGTACCTAAGGGAGAGTGTGGCTATCCTTGTGAACGGCCGCAACATGGGTTGTGCGGGCCACGGCTTTTGAGAAAATATTTGGCTTTCTTGGGTGAGCCTTCAAGAAATTCACTCAAGGTCAGTTGAATGACTCAGATATCCCTTCACACCTGTGTGTACCCGCACTTTGCTTGACCCTGTTCGTTTGAACGTTCGAAAGAAAGGTAGAGAGAGTTATATGAGTCATGCATGTGAGTGGGGAGGTCTGACACGAGTCTAGGATTGTACTGTTTTCTTTTGAACTTGTGTTTCTATGCATGCTGTGCAGGTAGGTAGAAGGATGCTTGCAGAGGAGATTGATTATGCCTATTCGGGAAGATGGAAGGATTGTTTTCCTTCTACCTCTTACCTGCCTGCATGTCAAAAAGACTTATTGTTTTGAAAAAGATTATTCAGTGTGTATCGTAGAATGAATCCGGTTGAAATTAAGCGGAATAAGGTCAAACGGACTTACTTTTCCCGAGGGTTGACCTATTCTATCCCGAATGACCTTATCTTCCGGTACCTGTCCAAATAATTCTCATTTTCTGTCTCCTCTGAATTTTTTTCGTCTAAGTTACCCTGGACCTTGGAGAAATGAAGAATATATGAAGGTCGCTTGCAGTAAATACATTTTCTATCTCTAGGAAGCATCTGGGGCGGGGGTTCGTGGCTTTCGGAGCCGACCCTGTCATCGACCCGGAGTGGACCGTTCTACGGGGGGGTGCTTGCCGATTCGGTGGAGACGGCCCGACTTCTGAGATCCGAGTCTTGTGCTCGGACGAGGAGGAGTACCCCAGACCACTTCCTAGAGGGAGAGGCATGCAACACTTCAAGCAATGCCCCTGATCAAGAATCAACCGCAAAGTAGCCTGTCACCCGAAGAGATTGGAAACGGATGAAGGCGGGTATGTGTGTAGAGTCTCAGGTTGACAGTAGGTTGAAATGGATGACTTTGGCAACCCGTCTCATCAAGTCTAACTAAGGCAGCCGACTACCCTGTCGGTTGCATTTATATTATCGTCGATAGCCAACTCGTTGTTAACGGTTGCATGATTGTTTTGTGGTGTTTGACCTGAGATGGTCAACGGTTGAATGTTTATGATGCAAGTATATGCGGATGTCTTATTTTATTTATTTTGACTGTGTTAAAGGGACTAGGGTAATATTGTGGGTTTCGCGTTTGGTTGAGACCGTCCTAGTCGACCGACGTTCGTTTGTACCTAGGAGATCAGCGCCCTAGGGGACGGACAACGTTCGGGTCCACTTTAACCAAGCGTACCTATACTCCAGTGAGCGAGCAAACGCCCTCGGCTGACCTACCTCTGCAATTGCATGTAAAAAGCCTTCGCATGTGGGTCAGTAGCTCGGTAGGGATACGCCCCTGAGGGTGGTGACAGCCCCTTAGGGAAGGTAAGTTGTGCCCTGCGAGAACCTATCCTGTCGTAGGGGACCGCAGGATGTACAGCTAGCGCACCCGGCTAGAGCGGCGAAGGGGCAATGCAACCGCGTTTGTCTCGATGATTCGCGGAATTATCTATGGATTGTCCTGAGTTGTCTCTGAATTGTCGGTTTTAACTCCTGCGTGACATAGCCGGGAGGGCCCTCGCCCACGCGGGGGCCGATGCGCTCGACAGCGCAATTAGGAAATCGTTAATTACGAGTAAACCTAATTAGCGCTAATTAGGGTTAGTCCTAGCCTAATCTAAACGACCTACCTAACCTATAGGAAGTAAGTGCCAGCCAGGCACCGCGCCAATCAAGGTTGATCGGGCCTGAGCTAGGCCATATTCGAACTGCAACTTCACGGACTTTCACTTTTTGCAAACTGCATCTTTTTGCGATTGAAAGGTTGAATCTTTCCAGCGAATTGTGTATCTCCCTGCTACCATTCATCTTCTACTATATGGACCTCGTGATGATGCTAAAATCTCCTGACGAAATTTCGTGAAATTTTTCGAAAAAGTTATGTCTAAAGACTCTAAATGTTTATACTTGCTTAAACTTATTCATTTCTTTTATTGATGCAAATTTAAATATTTTTGATTAAATATTTAACTTTTGTGAAATTAATTATTGCAAAGTTAAATATTCGTTAATCAGGTATTTTACCTTTTGCCGAAATAATTTTTTTATTAATTCCTAATTTTTCGATTAAAATTTTATTTAATTTCCCAAATTCGAAAATTCGTCCGGGGGGGGAAATTTTTTCTCTTTGATTAGTATCAGACTTTGAGGTCAGGGGACACAGGGACTGTCTGTGCATTGTGTGCCTCTCTGCCCCTCCTCCCCACCCAACCTTCTCTTCTCCTCTCAGTATACGGTTGCTAGCATCCGGACACGTCAGCAGAGTGCCACCTCAGCAGTGACACGTCAGCAGAGTGCCACCTCAGCAATGACACGTCAGCAGAGTGCCACCTCAGCAGTGACACGTCAGCAGAGTGCCATGTCAGCAGGTGCCACATCAGCAGTGACACATCTTGATGCGCCGCAGCCAACGACTGGCCGAGCGCGGATCCGCAGGAGCCAAGCCTCAACAGGAACTTAGCACCCCTCGGATTCCGCGCAGGCCACGTACGACCATGGCTGCTACCTCTGACAACAGTGCACCAGCTAGCCCCAACAGGCCGGTTACCCCTCCTCTCCCAATTCAGCAGGCCGATGAAACGCTCCTAGCGTTCCTCGACCGTCTCCATCTGTACTCGGAGACGACGGCAGCTGACCTACGCAAGTGGGAAGAAGAGGAAGCCGCCCGCCAGCAGGAAATACAACGCCAGCAGGCAGAGGCAGCAGCAGCACGTCAGCGGGCCGCAGCAGAAGCTGCAGCAGCCGCACGGTTGCAACAGCCGCAGCTCGAGGCAGATCAGAACCAGGCTCGTTACCAAGCCACGATGGATCTTGCTCACGACGAAGCCACATATGTCAGGCTACTTCGACAACAGCATTTCCAGGAGACCGAAGAACAAGACCGACCAACCGAGGAAGAAAGAGACACGGAAGGGACAACAGTACTAATGGAGACTCTGTTGTACACGTGCAATTGGCAGCAACGTGAACTGCTCGCCACGGGGCAGGTCCTTATCCGCCATGAAACAACACAAGGCAATGGACAAGAGGATCGCAACCCTACAGGCCGAGAACAACTCACTACAGGCCGCCAACAGCCAGCAGCAGACGCTCAACAGCCAGCAGCAGACACTCAACCATCAGCTGCAGGCAGATGTCAGCAACTGAGGAGCAAGAAGAACCAACCGAGGACGAGAGAAACAGGGAAACTACAGCAGTCTTGATTGAGAACCTGCTGTACACGTGCAATTGGCAACAACGGGAACTGTTGGCTATGCGGCAGGTCCTCATCCGCCATGAAGGCAACTTCAAGGCAATGGATCAGAACATCACTGCCCTGCAGACCGACACCGGCATGCTGCAGACCGCCGACAACCAACAGCAGGCCAACGACCGACTGCAGGACTCCGTCGATGCCGGGATGGCACGACTATCCACAATCGAGTCAACGGGCGGTGCAGTTTCAGACAGAAGCCCAGCTTTGGCCGCTCAAGCCAAACAGCTCGATGAGCGGATCAACCACTTAGTCGCATCCCTCGGCGACATCAGCAAGTTTGCTGGAGCGTCGACAGTCAGCAATCAGCTGCAGACGCTCAGCGACCGCGTTGACCAACGACCGGCCGCTGCCGCCAAGGAATGGAAGATCGAGAAGTTCGACGACTATCACAAGAGTGATCCGCTGCAATGGTGGATGGCGTTCAACGCGGAGGCCGACGTACATCATACTCCGCCCCTACGGCGGATGGGCGCGTTGTACCTCCAACTTATAGGCGGGGCGCAAGCATTCATGACGCACATGGCCGTCTCGCTCGAATGTACCATTGCCACCCTCCACACAAAGATCATGTGGGAGGAGTTTGAAAAGAAGTGGAAGACCCGGTTCATGGTGAACAACGACAAGCATCACGCCTTGAACAAGATCTTCCACATCTTCGAAGGCCAGCAACCTTCGCGAGAATGGCTGACGGAGTGGCAAAGACTCGTTGCCACCCTGGAGTCGAACCTGCCGTTCGACTCAATTCGAGGTGAGTTCTTCGTCCGATCTTGCGACGCCTTGACAGCTGCTCTCGGCAGCGAATTTGAGTATAAGAACTTTGACGACATGATTGCCAAAGCTAGAGAACTTGTACAAGGTAACCGGCGTGCGGATAACGAGGTCCGCAAACAGCCCGGTTACTTGGAGAAAGGCAAGGGACAACGGACGCCGCAAGTAGCAGCAGTCCAGCAGGGAACAAGTGAGGACCACACAGCCGCTTCAACATCAAGTGATGGAGATGTGGTGGCAGCGATACCACCGCGACGCACGAAACCCCGAGGGGGAAAAAAGGCGAAAGAAGCGTCGGCGAAAGAAGCGTCGGCGGAAGGAGCACGACAGGCACCATGGACGAAATTTGGCATTACCGAAGAAATGTTCAAGTTGCGACAGAAATGGTCATGCTGTTTGTGGTGCAACAGCACCAAACAGATCACCAGTGTCTGCCTCGACAAGGATAAGGAAAATGTCAAGCGTTCGGGCTCAAGAAACTGAGCACCGCGGGAAGTGCAGCGACAACATTTCCCAGTCCGCCGGAGTCGGCTGCCTTGCTAGCAGCCTCTCTCACATCCGGGGACATCGTGGTAGTCGCAAGTTCTCGCGTTGAGTTTGAGAACTATGCTGTCGAGCTGGTCCCACCGTTGAACCAGCCTCTCCACGTGCAAGATTCAAGCGTATGCGCGGCAGTTCCGCCGTTGGACAACGAACCGGTTGCTTCGCCAGCCTCTCTATCAGAGGATCCGTCAACTTGGGCAAGACTTGAGGATCTCGACCCGTTGACAGTTGAGGACTTCCAATGGTTGTCTCTTCCCTCCACCGGTTCTTTGCCAACTCCGCATTGCAATGCCTTAATGGCACATCTACGCGAATACTTGCACGCTGCAGTACCACCTCCGTCGACGGACGACGAAGTAACGGTTGTTGATCTTTGTAACCATCTTGCGAAGATCGACCGCGAGTACGCAACGCAACGGTACGTCGATAACGACGCGCCGCTCCTCTACATCCGCATTCAGATCGGAAAGGCGACCTGCAGTGCCTTGATCGATTGTGGAGCGACTCGTAACTACATCAGCCAAGACTTCATGGCACGCGCCGGGCTGGGCCCGCGCGTTCGAAGGAAAAGTCAGCCTACGCACGTCACGTTGGCCGATGGTCACACGCAAAAGTCAATCGACTAATGCGTTGACTCGGTGCTTGTGTACTTTGCCCCGCTAGCATGCGAGGCCGTGTCTTTCGACATATTGGACACCAAGTTCGAAATGATCCTAGGCATGTCGTGGCTGCAAAGCGAAGACCATCCGGTGAACTTCCATCGACGCACCGTTCACGTTCGTGATCGGCGCGGCGAACTAGTCCCGTGTACGGTGCCGCTTCCTCATCCTTCCATTGGTTGTCACGTGGTATCCGCGGCGAGCATTCGCCAATCCATCCGGCGGAACGACATCGAGGAGATGGGCATATGTTTTCTTCACGCCCTCCCACCCGGTGATCAGCCCAAGACGGATACATCGGACCCACGCATCATTGAGCTGTTGGACAACTATGAGGATGTCTTTCAAGCTCCCACCGGAGTCATACCGGATCATCCCATACGCCACATGATCACTCTCGAGGACGGCGCCGTACCTTCACGCGGATGTATCTACCGCATGAGCGAAGAGGAACTACAAGTGCTTCGGGCACAACTAGACGACCTCTTAGCCAAGGGCTGGATTCGCCCTAGCTGTTCGCCATACGGTGCTCCCGTTCTCTTTGTCCGGAAGAAGAACAAGGACCTACGTTTGTGCATCGACTACCGAAAACTTAACGCGCAAACGATCAAAAACGCCGGCCCTCTCCCTCAGATCGATGATCTTCTCGAGCGACTAGGCGGCGCAAAGTACTTCTCGAAGCTTGACCTCAAGTCCGGATATCATCAGATTGAGATCCAGCCTAGAGACCGGTACAAAACCACGTTCCAGACGCGATGTGGGCACTTTGAGTGGATCGTCATGCCTTTCGGTCTCACCAATGCCCCGGCTACTTTCCAAGCGGCTATGACGACGGAATTCCGCGACTTACTCGACCGCTCCGTACTCATTTACCTCGATGACATCTTGGTTTATAGTCGGTCGCTGGACGAGCATCTCGAGCACCTTTGCGCCGTATTGGAGCGGCTTTGTATCGCCAAGTACAAGGCRAACCGCGACAAGTGCGAGTTTGCCCAGCAAGAGCTGGGGTACTTGGGCCATTACGTCACGCCGCAAGGCATTCGTCCTCTCGCGGACAAGGTACAACCTATTCAAGATTGGCCGGACATCAAGTATACTACCGACGTCCGCTCCTTTCTCGGCTTGGCATCATACTACATGCGCTTCGTCAAAGGATTCCAACGTATCGCTGCACCATTGTCGCGACTTCAGTCCCCCTTGGTGCCCTTCGAGTTCAGCGACGAGGCCCGACATGCGTTTCACACGCTGAAGACGGTTTTGCTTCAAGCTCCCGTCTTAAGCATCTATGACCCGACTTTGCCCACCAAAGTGACAACGGATGCTTCAGGTTATGGCATTGGCGCGGTTTTGGAATAGCATGACGGTACAGACTGGCATCCGGTTGAGTACTTCAGCCAAAAGGTGCCGCCCATCAACACTCTTGATGATGCGAGGAAGAAGGAACTCCTAGCTTTTGTCACTGTGCTTAAGCGTTGGCGTCACTTTCTCCTCGGGCGTCGGCGATTCACGTGGGCAACAGACAACAATCCGTTGACGTAGTACAAGACGCAAGACACGGTGAGCAGCACGATCGGTCGATGGATGTACTTCATTGACCAGTTCGACTTCACCTCCAAGCACATTCTGGGCTCCTCGAACAAGGCAGCGGATGCTCTCTCGCAAAGACCTGATCTTTGCGCCTTGGTGCACTCCACATTCGGCCTCGACGAGAACCTGCAACAACATTTCGTAAATGGCTACAAGTCGGATTCGGGATTCTCCGCACTCTATGCGGACTTATCATCGGACCAACCGCCGGCAAGCAACTATCGCATTGTCGACGGTTACTTGCTTCTTCATACACGAGGCAAGGACTTGTTGTGTGTTCCCCAAGACCGCATCTTGCGCACTCGCCTCCTTGGCGAATACCATGATTCGCGGCTGGCGGGACACCTTGGCGTCGCACGCACACTRGCACGACTCCGCCAGCGATTTCACWGGYCGGACATCATCAGCGACGTCAACCRGTAYATTCAGTCATGTGCAGTTTGCCAMCGGAACAAAGGGCGCCATCARCTCCCTTAYGRYGAACTGAAACCATTGYCGATTCCTCRGGCACCGGGTCTCTCCATTGYTATGGATGTGACCGGTCCTTTYCCTCGCGATCGCCTTGGTCATGATGGYATCCTCACGGTCGTTGACCGTTTGAGCAAGTACGCGCGATTTCTTCCATGCAAGTATCATGCGACGGCTCCCGAGCTCGCACGACTTTTGCATACCGACTGGTTTTGCAGCCACGACGTTCCGGAAGACATCGTCAGCGACCGCGACACTCGTTTCATGTCGGCCTTTTGGATGACATTCATGGTGGAATCCGGCACCAGCATGAAACCGAGCTCCACACGGCATTCTCAAACGGATGGGCAAACGGAACGTGCGTACCAGACTGCGCAGATGATGCTCCGCCCGGATCAGAAGGACTTGGTTGACCGCCTTCCCGACATCGAGTTCGCCTACAACACCTCGGTGCACCCGACAATTGGCGTGACTCCATTCGAGTTGCACCACGGTGGACGGAAAGGACGTATCTTCGCAGACATTTTGCTTCCACGGGCTGCCGATATAGACGCCGCTTGCTCCCCCGCTTCTACACGGAAGTACAGGGAACTGCTGGCCAAAGCCCGCACAAACATGCAAAAGGCTCAGGTCCGTATGCAGCAGCAAGCGAACCGGCGTCGCATCCCATGTCCAATTCGCGCTGGCGACCTAGTTTGGGTCACCTCCGAGGAATTCGCGCTCGAGCAGGACGTCTCGTGCGAGCTCCTCCCTAAGTGGTTTGGACCATGGATGGTCACTTCAGCAGCTGGCGACGACCCCGCAGGTCCATCGTTCATCGTTGAGATTCCCCCGCATTTGACGGTCCACCCGATCTTTCACGCTTCAAAGCTGGCGGTTTACACTCCAGCCTCTGCAGCGGACTTCCTGGGCAGACGGTCACAGGACCCTCCTTCCATGGATGGTCATCAGGAGGTCGATCGCGTTCTCACGCATCGCAAGCATGGCAACAAGCCGATGCAGTACAAAGTTACATTCAAGCAATGCGATCCGAACGACACACGCTGGATTTCAA